AAAATTCTCCAAATGAAGCAGCAAGAATTTCTCCAGGACACATGGTTCCATGCAATAAGCAAGAGCACAAACAACAGTCTGTACAGGGATAGTCCCACACACGGTGCACCGTGTTTGCATAAACACCTATGAGACAGACTGCCAACAGGAGTTGCCCCTGAGTAACTGGAACTCAGGAACAAGGAAATGGGCTAATTTTTCATTTGTCCTTTGAGTCCTCTACACTTTTTTTTTTTTAAGTGGCTGGCGAGTATGGGGATCTAAACCCTTGACCTTGGTGTTACAAGGCACTGCTCTAACATATACATGTATTAAATATTCAAAAAGATCCAGAAAATAATAAATGTTAGCTAATAAGAGTAATCTGATTACTAACGGAGATTCTCAGCATTTTCAGGAAACCCAGCACAAACTCTTCTCAATCTCCAAACCTAAAAAATAAAAGTACCATCTTGCATTAACATAATTTTCTCAGCTTCCCATCCATAAAATAGGTGAGGACAGCACCCCTGCCCCCCGGGGGGCTGTAAGACTCAGATGAGCCATGTGTTAAAGGAGAACAGTGCCCCGCTGTGACAGCTGGAAGCTGCCATGCAGGGTAGGGCCCCTACTTGGTCACGCCCATTGACCCGAGTTTCAAATCCACAAACCCCACACCCCAGCAAGATGATCAGCTAGCATCCATCACGGACTTCAGGGTCACTTGCAAACTGCCGAAACCAAGAACACTAAATCAACAAATGCTAAAGGTCCCTGAACAGAGAGGCATCCATGATCAGAGACCCACACACTCTCCAAAGATGGTAACGATAAGAACAGCAGCAGCAACCATTTACAGGATTCTGGACACTGTCCTAAGCATTTCATATGTCCAGCAAACCCACTCACTTAATGCTCACAACAACCCTAAACTAAGTACTGTTATGACCCTCACTTTACAAATGAGGCACAGGGGGTTAAGGAACATGACCAGGGTTGCACGGGTACTTGTAGAGCTGGCCTGAAACCCAGGCAGTGTCACCAATAAACAACCGATGTCCAGATGGATGTTTCCTCCCACTTTAAGTCCAGTCCCTAGGAGGCTGGTAGGAAGTGTTTATTTGCCAGGCTGGCTTATGGATATTTCCCATGCACTGTTGCAAAGGAGACCTAGGTCAGTACCGCCTCCCACCTCCACATCCCCAAAATGGTGGCAAATCCAGACACTAAAACAAACAAAAAAATACCCACCCACAGACTAGCATCACTCAGTCCTGGAAAAGATCCTCCTTCCTCCCCACCACAGAATCTCCCAGAAGAATTCCAGCCCAGATTGCAAAACCATCCCAGCAGAAAGGGACCTTCGAAATGGTCCTATTTTAAAGAAATGTATGGCCCAAGGGGAAGGGACAGGTCCAGTGGCACCCTACATTCTTCCTGTCATGCCTCTCAGGGCAGTTTACTGTTGAGAGCAAATTCCCAACCCCTTGAAGGGAGGGGCTCCACCCCACTGCACCCCAACCCACCACCTAAAACCAGGCCCGGACTCCAGAAGGTGCTCAGTGAACGTGAGTATGAATGAACTCCTCAGTCCCTTCTGAAAGAACTGAACAAATGGGTCTCCCGGTAGGAAAGATGCAATGATAACATGGTCTAAGACTGCTCCATAAACGCGTTTCCTGAGAGCGGAGTCGGTCCAGCTGGCCTCCAAGTGTCTTAAGGAGGACAGCCTCAGAGACATTCTTCTGCTTTTGCAGCTTTCAGGAAGCCCCAGCCTAACCTGGGCAGAGAATAGACACTTAATAAACATTCTCAGGTGGACAGGCCTTGGGGCTGGGCTCAGGGAAGCTGTGTAACTGGCTATGCAAGTCCCTTATATTCCCTGAGCCTCAGTTTCCCCATCCCTCCATCCTTGGGCTGCTGGAAGGATTAAATGAGATGAGGCACCTGGAAGCACCTTGTTAACAATCAGCTGGTATTACTGTAAAGACAGACGAGGTTCACCCACGTTTTATACCAAAAGGCTTCATGGAGTCACGTGCCCCTTTCACTACCTCTTGCAAGGTAGGTTCTGCCGCAGAAAAGAGGAGGGAAGGGGAAGGCAGGTGGGAGGGTAAGAAAGAGAGAGGAAGAAACCGAGGAGAGCCACAGGAACAAACAGTAGCACTAACAAACAAGCTGATTCAAGGCTCATCTGTTGGCTAGCCAGAGGCCCCGTCCCAACAGGGTGCACGTTCCAAAGGGATGGCACTTGTGCCTACCTAAGGTAGGTGGGGCACTTCCCAGGACTTGGCTCCAACCACCTACTGATGCCATCAACACGAACTGACCCCTTGGAGAACAAGGCATTACACTTGCTAAGGGCACAACTCCACCTTGCAGAGACAAAAAAGCAGCAGCTCGACCCCTGGGAAGATCACAAGGGGTCTTGCCTTATTGTCTGAGGTGCCCGAGGAGAATGGCTTTGCCCTCCGAGTGAGTCTCGAGGTCACCACCTGGGGTCCATTCCAGAAGTTAAGGGAAAAGAACACAAGTATGGAGCCTGCCCCCTCCCATGCCTGTTTCCCCATCTGTAAAACAAAGGGAGAGATGAGATGATCAACATCTCTTCCTGCTCTGAGATAAGGTTTTTACAGGGCCTGACATTCAACTAAACAACTCATTCTGGTCCATTTAGGTCATGCTCTGGCGCTGACACTGCTCCAAACATTTGGGGCAGAACCTCAAGTCACTTTCAAACATCTCTGGACGTTTTCATTAGGGAATTCAGACAATTCATCATCCATCAATACAGGAGCGTTGCACCCCCAGATTGTGAATGTTTGAACATGACAATGTCTATCCACATTGTCTCTCAAGCCACTAAAATCACACCAACATTGACACCAAACAAAGCATAGCAAAGGGCTCTGGTCACCAGCTCAACAGTTGGAGCATTTTGCAGCCAGTATAGAAACGAGGCCACCAGGGGGCACTGCCCAGAAAGTAATAAAGAAGAAACAGAAAAACTTTTTGGTGTTTTCTTTTTCCTTCTTAAGCCTAAGTGACAAAACATCTAAAGCTTCCCTAATGAAAACACAAAGTGGGCTTCCTAGGGTTCTAGAATGGCCCAGATGCCTTCTGCCTTCTCTTTGAAGCGAATACGTTGGCAAAAAGAAGGAAACTAGACTTTGAACACAACAACCCTTTCAGAGAGATTAATGCTCTGCTCCCGATTTCCCCCAGGAGTTAACACCGCAGCTTGCCCTGAACCCCCTGCCTCCTTAAAGATGGGGGTTACCACAAGAAGGGCCAGCTGATGAGTATCTGCTAGGACTATTTTGCTAGAGACTCCTAATTATCGAGTAAAACACACCAATCCAGTGACAAGCCTCAAGCTTCAGCTGCAGACACAGGATGACAAAAATACAGACATCAGTAAAAAGGGTCTAAGGTATTAACTGGGATATAACTGGGATTTCCCAAGGCTTATATGACTGGGGGGAGCTCCCATGCCTTACATCAGAGCTGGACTTCAAGAACATACCCAAGGGGCTTCTTCGACTTTCCTCAGTGTCTAGGGAAGCCTTTCCACAAGTGTATCTGCAGTGCAATGTTCAAGTGTTCTTTTTAAATGTTCCAACAACCCTAGGACCCACTTTCAAAGCCCAGGCCACAAATTCCTCTTGATTTCCTTGTGAATTCCTGGGGTGGCTCTGCACGCCCTACTGACCATGAAAAGCTTGCTTTCTCCTAGGGAAACCAGCCTAGAAGCAAGCAGCCAGCCCCATCCCAGAACCAAGGGATGCAGAACCTGGGCTGCTTTATACAAGTTACAGCCCCTCTGGCTGCAGGAAGAGCACCGGCGGGGCTTGTACCGGCAAAGGAGCAGCAGCAGGCCCTTGGAACAGGCATGGGTGCACAGAGGTGCTGCCAGGCCTGCCTGCGCAGGTCAGCTCACACCAGCCACTCGCTCCACACAACAAGGGATGAGGAAACCCAACTGCTCAATTCTCCAAGATGTTTGGGGCGCCACAGGGACAAAAATGCAAGTGGGGCCATTTTCAAAAATCAAATCTGCTAAGTAGACCCACTGCATAACAAAAGGTTTACACCTGGAGTTTGCAAAATGCTTCCAGAGCCCGATTCTCATAGGCTTCCACTGAGAATGAGATTTAACTAACAGCTTCTCTGAGGCAAAGCCGCAGCTGTGGAGCAAGGAAAGGCATACCTGACCCAAGAGTGATACTTCCGTAATTTATTAACAATGTGATCTATTAAACACCTGAGTCGCCACCACTGAGGACCAGCATGGTGGGAGAGGGGAGCAGAGCCCGGATGGCGGAGGCCATCCTACAACCACATGCGTTTACCCCTTCTAAGTATCAGCCCCTTCTAAACACCAGCCACTCCCTAGCTGTGGGACCCCAGGGGAGGCACCCCACTCCTGCTGATCCGTGCCCCTTCTCAGGCACGTGGCCCAAAATCACCACTCAGGCCAATTTGCAAGGCTGCTGCGAGGCTCTAATGAGACAGCAAATCGTCACATACATGCCAAGTATTGCTACTCGCTTCAGTTGGGCTCAACCCGGTGATGTGCAATGACAGCTTCAAGAGCCGAGCACACGCGGGGCAGAGCAGGTGGTCCACAAACGTCGGTGCCCCTCTCCACTAAAGGGAAAGGGAGGAAGGGAGAAAAACACTCGGGTCCGAAAGTACCCTCAAGTCCCCTGCAGGCAGCGTGGATCCCCAGGTCTCCCAGGTCCCTTCGCCAACCTTCGGCAGCGCTCCCACCGCGCCCTGGGCAGCTGAGGGCCTCCCCTGCCGTGTCACAGCGCACCTGAGAGCCCCGGTCCGTGCCACATCGCCCATGCCGGCCACCGCTGCCCTCGAACACCGCCGGTGGCCCTCGCGGCCACCTGGACTCAGTCTCCCCGGGCACCGCTTCTTCCCGTTTTGCTCTAAGCTCCCAAAGCAACCGCTGAGGCTGCCCCGGGCTCAGGCCGGGGGTCCCCGGGCGCCGGAGCCGCGTCGCTCCTTACCTGCACAGCTCGGCGAAGGCCTGGAAATTGAGCTTCTTGATTTTCTTCTCGCTCAGCCAGTAGCCAACCCTCTTTCCTTTCAGAAAGGTCTGCATCTTCCTCCTCGAGCGGGGAGCCTGAGTCCGGAGGAAATCGCCCGCAGGCCGAGTCTGGCGGCCCGGCGCGCGCCGCGAGCGTGCGGGCACCTCCTCCCGGCGGCGGGGACGCGGATCGGTCGTATAACTTCGTATAATGTATGCTA